CTATTGTACATGTGTACCTATTTTGTGTTGTGGGGGAAACCGGAGTACCCGGAGAAAACCCACGCAAGCACGAGGACAACATGCAAACTCCGCACAGAAAGACCCCAGGTCCGAACCGGGGATCGAACCCAGGACCTTCTTGCTGTGAGGCGTCGGTGCTAACCACTGAGCCGTCGTGCCGCCTAAGTTAGAACTTTATAATTACCTGTTTGCTTAATCTGAATCCAATAAGGAGGAAATGTAAAACTTGTTCTTGTAGATTTAAGCAGGTGAGAAGTTTAGACAAAGAATCAGCCATTTAAATGCACAAAGCCGTGCTCCTGTGAATCCAATAAAGTCACATTTGAATAGAAATAAGAGACCACTGTGAGCCCATGTTGAATTCTCCCCCTCCGGTGCGTGACTGCGCGGCCCCACCAGCTATTATTTCACCATGGGGGGATCTGTGTCTCCTGCTCTGTGATCTGCAGTTCTGCCATCGTGAGACACGAGCCTGAAAGCATTAACCTTTTCCTCTCACATTCCAAGAATAACCAATTTCCACACAGGTTTTTAAGGTCTGTAAAGGAGAAGGGCTTTGTGTGTGTGGTGGTMGTGGGGGAATGAGGTCCGTTTAAATATTATCAAAAATTCTGACTTTATGGAAGTGATTTGTGAGCTGCCTCAGAAGCTTTCAACAGATCCGAAAGGCCCGCGTCGCTTTAAATCACCGTCCCGGCTGACAAAGAGTTGGTGCTGTATAGAAGGCTGTAGGCWGCCCACAAAATTATTCTGAACATTTTATTCTCAAACTGCCAAAGCAGAGCCTTGAATGGAGCTTTCTGCTGCAGGGTTTCCTGGCTGTCAGGGTGAAGGCTGTTCCTCTGATGCCACTCCAGGGCACGTTTGTGTTCGCAGCTTTACGTCGTCTGCTCTGCCACGCTGACGTGCACCGTCATTAAGCCTTCTCCAGAGTAAACACTCACACGACCTGAGACGAAACGAGGCGTCATGTTCTGCGTGGTTTCGTGTCTGACCTTTGCATTCAGGTGGAGCAAAACGAAAATGTCAGATCCGCCTGACTTTCTGACGTCCCAGAGGCTGAAACGTACAGAAGCTTCAAACCGACACTTGGGTTTGAGCGTGATCCGTTTCCTTGTTCATCAGTAGGAAAGCGTTCATGCACAGCTGGTGCTGATAAAGATGTGMCTCATTAAAATAATTACTGCGGCTGAAGTGTGTATACTGAATCAAAGCTTGTTATTTAAGGGTTTTTATTTCACTGTAAAGTTGCTTTGTTGAAAAGGGAACAAAAAATAATGATACTATAATTTACTGCAATTAGATGCAATTGATAATTATTTTAATTATCAGCTGTTTGAGTTTTTAATTCATGCTAAATAATTATGAGTCGATCTCACCTCTTCTCAGCAGTGTCAAACTCGGTTAAATTTAAAACTCGGTCCAAGCCAAGTACCCGTTTCTGTCAGTATTTATTTATAAAAATATTGGTTTTAAATGATATCTAACAGATTATTCTTATAGGAAGACATTTTATTTTATGTAGAGTTTAGAACATACATACACTAACAAATAAAGAAAAAGATTTAAATTTAAAGCTCATTAGTGTTTATACCTTAAAATTATTATTTCACTGACTGTTTCTTAGAATAATGTTTTATCACAATCCAGCAAAAAAAAAAACTCACAAAAAATCCAAACATTTAACTTTAAAAATAAAGGTGGATACAAAATTTTGACTACTGTTGAGAAAAGACTGCACAAAGTACAGTGATAAAAGGAGAAAAAATAAAAACTACTTTAAAAACTATCTTTGCGACCAGATAAAACCTTAACGAGGGCCGGATTTGGCCTGCGGGCCTTGAGTTTGACACATGAAATCTGACAAATCTAAATTTTTAAGTTCATTTCTTCTGATTTCAGCAAAAAAAAAAGGCCATATACTGTATGTGCATATGAAAGGTATGAAGTGTAAATATTTTACTTTGGTCAATTTTAAAATTAATTTGAATAAATCTTAACAGCAACTTTTAATCTGAAAACACAGAAACTGCTGAGGCACATCATTTAATGGTACTAAAATATGAAGGATATGTTGACAATCTCCAACCTGTGTGAAGAACTCCTCTCTTATTTTAAAAGTGTAGTTTATATTTCAAATTATAAATGTGGATTCACCTGCCAGTGTAAAGAGAAGACAAAATAATGTGCGCAGTCACTAATACAGTGTTGCAGTTAATAGGTGGAGACATGACGTACTTGTCGCTTGGTTTTGATAGATTTATTGATTTTTATTGATTCTTAAATGCTCTTCACATTTATATATTTTCATTGAGATGTTTAGATTATGTTTATTATCGAATGATGAAAATCGCATCTTTTAGTTTGCAGTTTCGAGTCTTCCGCTCCCCCTTGGGTGTGCTTCGGCCTAACCCTGAAAAGGTTGTGGTAATCCTGAATCCTGACTCGGTTTCCTGTGTAAAATTCAGGCTTGCACTCTGAACATGTTTCTGTCAGTTGGTGACCCCGACGTGATGCATTTACTCCCATCAGGAAAAATCTGTTCCATGCTTGAATCTGCAAGATTCTGGAAACTTTCCCACAATTCTGAGTCCAGCTTCTCTACTATCAAATGTAGTGATTTTATTTTAGCCTAACCTATGTTGGTGTATCAAACTGATCGTTGTGCGYCTTAATTTCCTTTTTGACCTTTTCTATTTTAGTACCACATCTTGGCAGAGTTCCTTAATTATTTTTCACAGTCGGGTAATAATTGTGTCAAAGATAAAGGTTTTACTAAAATTCTAACTTTCTGAATCCAGTATCTAAGACTACAACAAGAGCTTTAAAATATAATTTATGATATAAAATAACCTGACTTTTAGTTGCTCGAGCCAGAATGTGTAAATTTAGAAGTAAGATTCAATATTTACGATTCTTCCTGATTTTTCTTCGTCATCTTCATCCCATCCATCCACGATTCATTCATGCCCCCCCCGCCCACCGTCCCGCCCTATTTTCCCGCTCTTCCGTCTCTTCGTTTACATTTCTCCATGAAGCCAAACTGTCTGCGGTGGAAAGCAGCAGCTGCATGTGCAGGACGCCGTGCAACATGACCCGCTACAACAAGGAGCTGTCCATGGTCAAAATCCCCAGCAAGACGTCGGCGCGCTACCTGCAGAAGAAGTTCAACAAGTCGGAGAAGTACATCACGTAAGTAAACGTGTTCAAATATCAGAAATAACAAGACTTTAACGAGGACCACAGTTGTGATTGCAGATTTGTATGATTCACCACACAGAAACAGATCTTCTTCCTAATAATCATGGACTCTGAGATTATTTCTGTCAGATCCAGGTTCTGTCTGTCTGTTTCTCCACTCCTCCGCCCACACACAGACCGGTCCTGATTGGGCTTCTTGACCTGATGTGAGATTCACCGGAACAAATGTACCTTTTTTTTTTCCTTTTTCTTTTCGCAGAGACAACATCTTGGTGCTGGACGTGTTCTTTGAGGCTCTGAACTACGAGACCATRGAGCAGAAAAAGGCCTACGAGGTGGCTGGTTTACTGGGTACGTCAGCAGGATCGCCTCTGATTGACGTAGACGTGACGCTGAATGTTTATTGGAAGTGGACCAGAACCAATGATTGTTTTTATTTATTCCAGCTCATCTTGTCAAAAGTTACAAACTTTCTTTAAAAGGATTAATTTAGTTTCCTCCTTCATTTCTGTGTTTCCTGCAGGTGATATTGGAGGACAGATGGGTTTGTTCATCGGAGCGAGCATCCTCACCATCTTAGAGCTGTTTGATTATGCTTATGAGGTCAGTTTTTATAGATTTTCACACTCCTGACAGATTCTCACAACATGTGTCTTAGAAAGCTGTTAGAACGTCACATTAGTTATGGACGGGGACGTTGATGCATCTGCATTTTATTAGCAAATAAAGTCTGGAAATGTAGTTTGGCTGCAAACTCAGCTGCAGTTTTTTTGTAAAATCAGTGACTCGTGGGTTTTGTTGTTTGTTTGTTTTTTTAYGTAAAGCCCTCAACATAAAAACATCTGATAAAATAAACAGATACTAAAAGCAGATAAGAGCAAGACGAACGTGACTATTTTGCTTTTCCATTTCCCGTCTGTCGGCCGAGTTCCTTTTGAAAGTTTTTATGTGCAGCTTTCAGCTCCACATGTTTCTGCTAAGCACATAATAGTCTTCAGAAATTCTGAGAAAAAGTAATGGTTGGGAGAAAATTTTTATCTTTTTTTATTTAATATTTTTCCTCCTCGTTTAATTTAATGACCATAATGAAGTAAAGGGCATTACGAACCTTTAGGCACCCAACCAAATCGCTTCCTGAGTTACCTTTAAGAGTCGTTCCGAGCGGTTCCTGCTGAAACGTAATGGGCCAGTTTGTTGCTCCATATGCCTCCCATTTACAGTTTCACTGTGCAGCCCGGACTGTCTGCAGCAATGAGGAAAAACTCTCCTGTTCCAAACTGAACGACGGCTTCAGACTTACTTTCTGATCTCCAGGTGGTGAAAGACCGACTGCTGGACTTACTGAGCAGAGAGGAGGAGGATGAGAGCCATGCAGAGGAGGTGGTAAGAGCTTTAATTTTCTTTTCTTTTTTTAAACCTCATCAACTTAACCTCAGACTGACCACTGAGGCTTTGCGTCATTGCAGTGTTCATGACTGAAGAATGTTTTTTTTAATCAGAAGGTATTTTGCAGAATCGTGACTGAGCTGTCATGCTGAACAAACAATTAGTTTGATTTTTGTAAAAGTTGTGAGAATTCAGCTTTATTTTTTTAATTTAAAAAAATAAAAAACATTCCTGAGCAGCACTAACAGACAATAACTGAGCTCTACCTGTTTTTTCTTGCATAGAAACAGCGTTTTAACACGTCCTTTTTAAACACTGCAAAGTACTACATGTACAACTGAATAAATGTGAAACAAATAAAACAGAAATACTATTAAAAGTAAAAGCAAGAGAGTTTTACTCACTGTTGAGTTGTGATAAGTAGCTCCCCCACTTCCCAACAGAGAATTCCCACTGAATGGGGCTTCCACTTAAAATTTTTTACTTGTAACTGGGAAATTTCCACTTCCTAGTACAACTGCAGCAAAAGTCGCCAGTGAAAATGAAGCGAAGTTAAGATTTTAAATGMCAAATTTCACCTTTAACCCTGTGCAGCTCCACCCAGTGGTGGGATGCCATCATTACAGGTGGCTGTGGCGGATTGGTTAGAGGAATCGTCCCATAACCGTAAGCCCCGCCTCTGTCAATGAGCCCCAGGGCAGCTGTGGCTACATTGTAGCTTACTATCGTCAGTGTGTGAATGTCTGTAGTGTAAAGCGCTTTGGGATCCGGAGGGACTTGATAAAACGCTATATAAGTTCCATTTATTATTTACCATTTACCATTTCACGGTAAAATAATCAGCATGCATTATGGGAGATGTAGTTTATGATCAATGCTGGTTTTAAAGAAGCTTATTTTAAGATATTAATAAATCTTTGAAGAACCAGCTTGGCAGTGGTTCCAGCGGGGAACCATTTTGACGTCAGCAGACTTCTGCTCGTGGATTGGCTGAGCTGAGACAGAACTTACAAACTCTTCCTGGAGAGAGGTGACGAAGACGAGCACTTTTAACTTGAGCTGGACGGAGCCGTCTGAAATCAGAAGATATCCCGGGAGGTTTTGGACCAACTGGTCGCCCACGGTTATACACACTTATAAACAGTGCTGTGATAAATAATAATAACAAGTCTGACTACCAGGCAATAAAACCACTACAGCTTGACAATAAACAACGGGCTATAGAACGTTTTTGTGGGGCCATATTCTGCCCACGGGCCTTGAGTTTGACTCGTGCTCAACATAAAATCAAAAGTTGTTTTCCTTAAAGTGTGAAGAGGTTTTTATGTTAGATTTCGTCATGCGTTAAGTGCTTGTGCTTCCATGTAGAAGTGTAAATTTGTAWTTATTCAGCTCTGCTGCAGCACTTCATGTGTTTAAAGAGCTTTTTAAGACATAAACAACTTCCTTTGACTTTCAGAGCTCCTGTGACCCCGTGGCGAACCACTCAGAATCCATCAGCCACACCGTGACCGTCCCCCTCCAGACAACCTTGGGCACCCTGGAGGAGATCGCCTGCTGAAGACCCCCTTCCCTACCCCTCAGAGCTGCCCAAAAACCCAGCACCTGCCTCCACTGGGCCTGGCATCCTTTTTTTACGGAGTCCTGCTGGACCTTAACGGGGGCGGGGAGGAGGACGGGAGCAGGGGTCAGTCTGAGGACAGCGCCGCACTCCGTCACACCCTTCTGTCTGAGGCGCTAATGGGGATTAAAGACCTGCCAGAGGGATTTATCAGCATTCTCTGTCACCCTGCACCGGAGGGGGGGCGGCCTCTGCCGTGACGGACCCTCGCTGAGGTCCCCTCCACAAATATGCACAAAGAATATTAAAGACCGAGTCGAGAGTTCTCATCCTGTGCAGAGTAGCCATGTAAAAATAAATCCACACTCGTACGTCTCTCACTGCCAAATTAGCTGTAAAAAAAAAAGAAGAAGCGGTCTCCAAACTGCATGCGTCGATCTGTCTCACTCTTTGCTGATGCTGGACTGCAGTGTTGCTTTACTGCGCGCGTGTGTGTGTGTGTGTGTGTGTGTGTGTGTGTGTGTGTGTGTGTGTGTGTGTGTGTGTGTGTGTGTGTGTGTGTCATTAGTCTGTTTATCTGCAGGATGGCACTGTGGAAACATCAAACCTTTCGAATGTACAGATTGAACAGTTTCAGGCTGCTGGAAAACTAAACAGCTTCTTATGTTCGTCAGTGTAAGAAAAATAATCTGAATATTTTCTGCCCACCTTTTTTTTTTTTTTGGTCCACCTGCCATTTTGAAGGTAATTGTTTAACCGGATGTCAGGTTTGCTCCGTGGCTCCTGTGGTGCTCGGCTGTTATTTACAGACATCGCTGAGAGGATGTCAGACCCTCGCTGTTAATTTATGGGAGTAAATGGGGAGACTTGAGGCCGCTGCACCTCAGCAGAGCACTCAGCTAATTGAGACTGAGTCTGAATTTATACGCTCGCCAAACAACAAGTTGTGTACACAGCTCCTGTTCTGCTAATCCATTATTTCATTAAGGAAATGTCAGGGTGGTATTTACCATTTTTATCTAGTGTTTTTTTATTTTCTCTGTTGCCAAAACAATCCCAGGTTAGACGGTTTTAATTTAAACTGATAAAAAGGATGTTTTAGTGTTTATTATCTTGGTTTTCACAATGTAAATATGTATTTTTTTTCCGTGTAAAACGGGTATGATGCAAAGCAGCCAGTAGCACTTTGGATTAGCTGAATGTCTAAAAGTGAAGGAGCGACCCACCCACCCCCTCAGCACCTCCCACCTCCTTTAAGACTCGACCCAACATGACTCGACACCAAAAGCTTCTGTGAGACTGTTGAGAAACATTTAGCGTCTCTGAGTTTTCTATTTCCGGCGTGTCATCACGGTGATGTTTGCAGGTAGGAATGAGTTCAGACTGTTTGGATTATGATTTCCCATCTGTGGCTCAGCCTGCTGTCTCTGTGTTCCTCTCTCTCTCTCTCTCTCTCTCTCTCTCTCTCCCTCTCTCTCTCTCGTGTCGTGGCTTCTGATGAACGCAGTCCTCCATCGACCTGTGGGGACGTGAGACAAACGCGTCTCTCTTGGTTTGGTGGCATCAAGTACCGGCTGATTCCCCCTCTCCACTCCAGCTTCAGTTGTTACCGCAGGACAGCGCTTTCTCGTTCTGTGATGCAGCAACACAGTGTGTGTTTTTATTGTGAAATGATTAAATGAAAAAGTTTGTTTTTGCAGTCGTGGGTGTGTTTTTGGATGAGCTCGTCCGTGTTTTTTTGATGCAGAAGGAACATGCAGAAGGTCGTGATGTTTTCCACCAATGGTTGAATCTTTGGGTGGGGGGGGGGGGGGGGGGGGGGGGGGGGTAACTGTTAAAACTGGTTGAATAAAGTTTACTTTACTCACCTGAAGTCCTGCAGCTGAAAACCTCGAAGGAAACAGAAACATGGTTTCTTTCATTTTCACAGATGGATCTTGATAGAGTTTTATTGGATTTATTAAACTTCTTACGGTGTTTCAAATAAAGTCTTGAGGTACGTGACAAATTTATTAT